ATATTGTGGTTTAACCCTGACCAGTAAGGAGTTGTCAGCATTTGCTCTCGCAACTCCGGGTGCCTTAAATGGTAATGATAATCTGAGATTGATCCATTGGTGGTTAGTTTAGTGGGTCTGATTAAGACCCTCCAAGTCACCTGCAGATCGCTTTCCTGGGATGGGAAGAATAAGAGGTCAATGGGAGAATTTCTCCCATTAACACCTGTGGTAACTCAACTTAAGGGACGTCAACTCTGGCTATGTTATTCAGGTAGAGTTATGTACCTTAAGTCGGCTTTCTGTTGTAGCCCAAGATAAAATCATAAATTAGGCAATTATTATAACTTGCTGAAGGAGTTTCTCACCTATATTCAGTTCCTAGATACTTCAGCTGCTTTGGTTGAAGGACCCAATATTCTGTGAATTGAGTGCTCTGGTCACTTGAATCCCCCCAAGTGATGGATCACATGTTTTTTTCCTCTGTTTTTATAGTCCAGGAAACCTTTTAAAGTGTATTTGAAAATTCACTGCCTGATGACCAGGGCTAGTCCAACAAGCAAATGTTCCTTTGACTGGCAAGAAATGCCTAAGAATACTGTGCTTTAAATACATTTTAAGATTATAATTCTAGCACATACATATCTTTGTATGTGACCTACATGCATCACTCAATGATGGATGGGTTACTAGTTTTTTTTCAGTGAGATGTTATGCCACCTTGTGAGTATATATCTGAACATTGTTAGGTGTCATGAGTATGTGAGGCCTGACAAGTTAATGACACAACTGTGAATCATCAATGGGCCTCTGTAAGGGGAGGGAAAGCATGCAGAATCCCGAGTAGGTGATTGGAGTGTCTTGGTATGGAGGAATGGGCAATGCACAGCCAATGAGATATGGGAGAAATAATGGCTCTGTGGCCTTTGGTATGGGAAGACTGGAATGGGAGGTTCATAGGATCTCTATCTCAGAGGTTAGGTAGAAATGCAGGGAGTTTCTGAAAAAGGGAGGGGGCGGGAAAGAGGGTTTCAGGCAAGGAGCTCAGTTTCAGTATTAACGTTTTGCAACTTTTAGATGATATCTTAATAATTTTAAGCATACTTTTGCTGAGAAATGCTTGAATTGTAGGTTTGCATTGAGCTCAGCCCCCACCTCAGATAATGTTGGCTTCAGCAAATCTTGTTCCCTACGTGGGTGATTTTATGTAGTCTGAATTCCTTTTCATGTTGGTAGGAAGGATTGTAAATCCTTTCAGGCTGGGGCTCTTTTGTTCCCACCTATGGAATCTAGGTGGGGTCTTGGTCCATGTCTAGAGCTCCAAATAACAATATAGGGGGCGAGGTGGCCAGGCTAGAGGTGCTGGCAACAGCCATCAATGTAGTGAATGTGGAGCACTCAAAGGGTACGTCTAGTCTACATGCCTCTGGCGACAGAGGCATGTAGATTAGGCTACCGGACATAGTAACATGAAGCGGCGATTTAAATAATCGCCGCTTCATTTAAATTTACATGGCTGCCGCGCTGAGGCGACAAACAGCTGATCAGCTGTTTGTCGCCTCAGCGCGGCAGCCATGTAAATTTAAATAAAGAGGTGATTATTTAAATTGCCACTTCATTTCCCTTTGCCTACAACACTAATCTGTCCAGACTATTTCGCTGAGGCGACAAACAGCTGATCAGCTGTTTGTAGCCTCAGCGCGGCAGCCATGTACATTTAAATGAAGCAGCGATTATTTAAATTGCCGCTTCATTTTACTATGTCCGGTAGCCTAATCTACATGCCTCTGTCGCCAGAGGCATGTAGACTAGACGTACCCACAGTGAGGCTAGAATGAAGAGATTGTTAATAGAAGAATTTGCTGTGGAGCTGGGTTAGAGGGTGTGGAAGAGACAGTTGAGGAGGGTAGAGTGCTGAACAGGAGAGAGCAGACACTAGAGCAGGGGTTCCCAACCTCTTTCGGTCCCCGTATCCCCTTGACTTTTAGTAAACCTTCCTGTACCCCCTATTCAATATGAAAGGAAATACATTCTAGACTCTAGAATCCACAACTTTTTTCATTAACATGACTACTTTTGGAATATTTCATTTAGGATAATCTAGTTATTTACCAAATATTCCCCGTACCCCCTTGACAAGCTTCTCGTACCCCCTGAGGGTACGCCGTACCCCAGGTTGGGAACCCCTACACTAGAGCCTGGGAAGAAATGAACAGCTGGGTAAAGAAACTTTTGTTTTTACACACTAGCCCTAACTTAACTAGAATATGTCCTTGAAATGAATCTATTAAGACTTCTCTACACAGATGTTTTGCACTGCTATAACTGTAAAGTACTTTTTTACAGATATATGTGGGTTTCTGTATTGCTTTTAACTATATTTCTAAATCTGTATAGCTGACCAAAAATAGCTTATAGACCAGTGCTTAGTCTACAGCTGGACAGGAGCAACAGTACTAAGGCCATATCCATTACTCTGGGCACTATAGCACCATAGCTACAGTGCTGTTGCCTCATTGATTAACAGTCTGTTAATTGATCACTTGTGTGACTGAGAATGCTTCATTGACATTTCTTTTGATACAGGATATATTTACCCTGTCTCCTAGTCTACATTGCATAGCATATCTGGGGAGCAGTGAGTTTGTGTGTTAAAGGGCTGATTTTTACTTACTTTTATGTCTCTTTCCCCTTAGGGATGCTGGGGATTCCTTGAATGACTGCAGAATTATCTTTGTGGATGAAATTTACAAAATTGAAGAACCTGGTAGTGTTAGTCCAGCTAGCAACAGCCCGTTAAAAAGTGAGGTTTTTTTGTATAGCCCTTAAACTTTACACTGCATCCTATTATTGTGATGTGAGAATGTTTGAAGCTGTGCCCTTCTTAATATAACTACCTTTTTCTGAAATCTAAAGCAGCAGTAATTATAATTTCTGTATATTCATAGGGCAGAGTGGACCAGTGTGTAAACATTGTAAAGACAACCCAAACAAGACCTGCAGGATGTGTGCCTGTCATGTGTGTGGAGGTAAACAGGATCCAGATAAACAGCTAATGTGTGATGAGTGTGACATGGCTTTCCACATCTACTGTCTCAACCCTCCTCTCAGTAGCATACCAGATGAGGAGGACTGGTAAGTCCTGAAAATGCCTGTTTAGTATTGCAACTTGTATGTAGGCTGTGGATGGTGAGAAGTGTACGGCCTTGTATGTGCGCACATACCATTTTAACCAATTTTGTTACATGGGGAAAGACCCCATTAAATGAATGATATTAAAATCAATTTAAAGCTGAATTGTAGCTATTTCGTTTTAGTTCAAGTTAATTCCTTATTAAACAACTACCAGGGGGCTGAGCCCCCTTCTAGCAGCGCTTGCCAACCTCCTTTCTGGGGCTAGCAGCCCTGGCTCTCCTTCCCCCTCACCTCTCTCTCCCTCCTCCCCTGACCCCAGCTGCCAGGGAGGGCCAGGCCAAGGCTCTCTTCCCCCATCTGCTAGCCCCTTCCCTGAGACTAAGCTGGCACCCCCTTCCCGCCACTGGGAGTGGGGGGTTGGGCCCAGCTGACACCATGTCTGGCCTGGCTCTCCCCCTCTGGTTGCTGGGAAGGGGGGCCGGGGCAAGGTTGTGCCTAGTTCCTCTCTCCCCTCTTCCCTCCTCCCCCAGCTGCCAGGGGGGTGTTCCACGGCCTCACCAGGCCCTGCGCTCTCCCTACAGCAGGCAGGTGGGTGGGAGGGATGGAGCCTGCAGTGCAGCACTGAGCACTGGGGAAGGAGGTGGGGGGAGGAGGCAGATGAGATGCAGTGTGATGTGATGACATCACTGTCCTGCAGGAAAAAATTTTTATATAATATGAGAGAATTCAGGTTTAAATGAATCAATTAAACATGAGCTGAACCTGTGGGGTGGTGGTTTTTTTTAAAAACAAAACTTAATTTAAAACATCTTCAGAGACATTTTCTGTGACTTTGGCCTATGTTCAAAAATTAGAATGGCTTAGCTATGTCACTTAAGGCTATGAAAAAGTCACACTCTCTCTGAGCTGTGTACTTAAGTCACCCATATACCCGGTATACAGGCAGTCCCCGGGTTACATGGATCCGACTTACATCGGATCCCTACTTACAAACGGGGTGAGGCAACCCTGCACTAGCTGCTTCCCCCACAGCAGACCAGGGAGACGCGAAGCTAGTGCCCCCCCCCGAGCGTCTTTTCTCAGCAGACACCTCAGCTTGAGAATAAAGGACTGAGGGAAGTGAGGTGTGGGAGAATAAAACTGAGCTCTGGAGAAATGTTTGGCTAGAGTTTCCCATACAATATGTACCAGTTCCGACTTACATACAAATTCAACCTAAGAACAAACCTGCAGTCCCTATCTTGTACGTAACCCGGGGACTGCCTGTAGGTGCGGATAGACAGAATTTTTCTTTTGACTTTGTGCCAGCTGCTAGTGATTAATTATATTGACAGAAAAGCTTTTTCCATCAATGTAGGAAGCTTTTACACTACCTTTTAGATGTATGTTTTAGAAGTATTGGGACATAGCTAAATAAGACTTCACCAGTACTATGAAGCTTTGCCTTCTCTAAATTGGGATGGATCTCTGAATTAAACTGTTCTGAGCTTTGGATCATTTTCTGAAACCACAAATCTTTGTTTTATAGTACTAAAAATATGCTGGGCTTCTTACAGTAATATGAAAACCAGTCTGATTCAGTTTAAAATCTTAAATACATTTAGTAACAAAGGAAAGGCTATAGTATGTGGTTTCTCAGCCAGAGTATTACTGTTTTTTATAGGTAAGTTTTATGAACACTGCTGATTTGTGGAAAGCAAAATAAGCAGCCACTTTGCCAACACTGGCCAATCGAAAAGCACGCTGCATATGCATTTCATGAGTTAAAACTTTTTCCTGGTTGTGTTGGGGGTGGTGGTGGGGGGGGGGGGGAAGGGAAGGGAGGATGTGTGGTAGGGATGTTAAATATTGGTTAATCAAATAGTTGAGCAATCTGAGTTCTTATCAATTAGTCAACTATTCTGTAGTCCCTGGGGGCGGGGCTGCAGCTTCAGTCTTGAGGAGCCCCCTGCCTCTGCGTCAGAGGCAGCAGCACAGGGTGCCAGGCGGGCACTGGTCCATGAGGGGAGCCAGTTTAAAAACCAGCTCCCCATCATCATGGGCTGCTGCCTCTGATAAAAAGGCAGCTATGCGGGATGGCAGCAGCCCCTGTCCAGGTAGGATTTGAGCTCCCAGACCTGGTGCAAGTCAAAACTGAGCCCGGCTGCCTGCCCACCTGGCTCCTAACACTCTTTAAATGCAGAGCCACAGCAGGAGTAGGTCCTGGACACAGCATGAGCCAGGCTGATGGCCCACCCTGCTAAAAAAATTACTGGCAGGGGGAAGGGTGAAATGCGTATAGTTCATAGCATTAACCTATAAGGTTTTGCTTATCGGTTAGTCAGTTAACCGACTATACTATTACATCCCTAAAATGTGGGTGCCCAAGTTGACTCCTTAAAGGGGTCTTCAGTATTCTGAGAATTAAACTGCTTTTAAGACATCTTGGCTTGGGCAAGCAAAATAACTAGATGGGGATTAAGCTATCCTCTTTATGTTGTATTGTTGTGGCGGTGATAGCTTGCATACTTTTAAAACTACTGCATATTGATATCTGATGAATTCTCTCTTGTCAATGTGATCATTAGAGTTGCTAATCTGACTTGTAGTCACTTCAGTGATTGTGTGTGGGGAAGAGTTTATTGGCAGGATGGAATGAGCCAATTTGTTTCACTGCAGATAGCTGTCAATGTAGATCCTGTCCAGAGTGGAGGCAAAATGATGCCAGCTAGTTGAACAGTTACTGCAGAATTTTTGTCTTGCCTTGTCCATCGTGGCTCCACCCTTTTTGAGATCCAGGTCATTAAACATAATGTGGATATTTATTCTCTGTTCCAGCAGTCCATACTATTTCTCAGACAGCCCTGTCTCTGGGGGCCAGGAAAGCTGTGCATGTACCCTGTCTGAACAGCTGTAGCTATTAGAATTTTAATTCTCTCATTGAGAGACTGTCAGTATAGCAATGCATACAACTTAAGATGAAACTTCTCAAGCTTCTACTTTATAATTCACCAATCCCAATACTTGAGGGGCTACCACAAGCTAATTTTTACTGACTGGCAATTCTAGGTATTGCCCTGAATGTCGGAATGATGCAAGTGAAGTGGTTTTAGCAGGAGAGAAGTTGAAAGAAAGTAAAAAGAAGGCCAAGATGGCATCTGCTAATTCATCCTCTCGGAGAGACTGGGGCAAGGTTGGTATAAAGCTTGTTTTGTTTGGTACCTTAATATGTAAAGCATGATAGTTCACGGTAGTTCTTAGATTTGGCTTTCTCATTGAAACAGGGTATGGCATGTGTGGGTCGCACGAGAGAATGCACCATTGTACCCTCTAACCACTATGGACCAATTCCTGGGGTTCCAGTTGGCACCATGTGGAAATTCAGAGTCCAGGTATGAAATAGCAGTGCTGCAGTGACAGGATAAAATGGGAATGAAGTACTTCTTACCCAAGGAATTGGAAATAGAATCTGTATTGGCATATTTGCCGCAGGACTTCAGCATGCTGAGAGGAAAATACTGGCTCTGTCTGTTGTGAGTGTAAGGTATGGGGACTTGTTTTGTCTTATGTGTTGAGGTAAAAAGATGACTTGAATCGTTTAAAACTCTCCCGTTTTGCTGGAGAGGTCTCTTGATGACCTAGATATATAAAAAAGGGCTCTTTCACCCCATAATTGAAGGGAGTGAAGAGTGGGAACTGAATTAAGCATAACACTTCCCTTTACTCATCCCTAACTGTGCTATGGACAGTCAGAATAAAATAGCTTTCCCTCCATTGTTTCTCTCCCCCTTCTCCTCCCCCCCCCCCCCATGAATTTGTGTCCATCTGAGTTAATTATTCAAGAACTCCTCCTAAATGGTAAGAGCTAGGACCATCAAATTTGATATACAGCTTCTCCATACCCTATGTTAAGTAAGGCCAGGGTTTGGTTGTTTAGGGAAAATGAGATGTGCATGGAATGGGATTGGTTTTTGATATCATGGAAAAGGAAGGGGCTGATCAGAGGGACAGTTATACTGCAGAGTTACCATGGCGGGGGGGGGAGGGGGGAGGAGGAAGAGATGGGCACACTAGGAAGAGAATGGCCTATTGGGCCAGGGTTCCATGTTGCTGTCCACCAGTCCAGGTAAGAGTGCCTCAAACCCCTCTCCCTTGGCTGAAGCACTGGACCTGAGGGGATGCAGAAGAGGGATGGTAGATCACAGCCGGCCAGCAGCCTAGCTGCCCCTTGGGCTGGGCTACACAGGTGTCCGTCGTCCCCCCCCCCCCTTCCTGAGTAGCCCAACTGTGTCTGAACCATGCAGCCTTGGATCTCCCAGCCATTGCCCATTTACACCCCCCTCACCCCTCCCCCACAGGAGCTGGCGGCTAGGGCTAGACACCAGAGATCTCCCCGCTCCCCCCCTCCAGAGCTGAGGGAGGTGCACCGTTGCAGTGTCATCCTTGCTGCTGCAGGGCCCTGTGACCTCCCTGTACCTCCATGCGGCCAGTCCCTTGCCCTGAAGGACCCAAGCAATGCTGAATAAGTTTTCTATCATAAATCATCTAGTTCAAGTGGCGCACAAACATGAATGTTTCCTTCACATAGGGTGTGTCTACACAGTAGGGCTTAACTTGAAATAAGCTATGGAAACTAAGCTACGCTAATTGTGTAGATTATTTTGAAAGTGAGAGGACGTACACAGCACTTACTTCAAAATAGAGCACTTTTCTTCGCTCCTCATGAGGGTTACAAGAGTTGGAGTAAGAAGTCCTCCAGTTTGACAGTATTTTGACATTATTTCAAAATAACTTGCTGTGTAGACGTACCCATAGTCAGCATCCTGGGGGGGGGGAAGGGGAAGGGAGCGGATTTGTCCATTAGACATTGCTTTTCATCTGTGCCTCCTTCTCAACCTGAAGTTATAGGGCCCAATTCGTTGTTTGTTTTCTCAATGCTCTGGGCAAATCAGATGCAAAACATTGTTTTGATTTAATAGTATTTTGCACTCACTTTGCACGGGTGATCTCTTCTAGGTGAGTGAATCTGGTGTTCACCGGCCCCATGTAGCAGGTATACATGGCAGAAGCAATGATGGTGCTTACTCTCTGGTCCTGGCAGGAGGTTATGAAGATGATATAGTAAGTGAATCTTGGAACTGTGTTGTTGCTGATCTTCTCTCTAAATGATCCCGGAGTACTGAATTATATTTTTGTATTTAAAACACAAAGTTGGATTAATCTGATTCTCTGAGTTCTACATCACATCTTTTACCTGAAGAACTTGACACCAGTGCAGACAGGGAGAACAAGATAAAGAAGTGGGGGGTCAGGAACAGGTGAATTAAGCTCCTATGACACTTTTGTGTCTCTCCTGTCTCTAGGAAACAGTACTCTTCCTGGAAGACCCATTTTTCCCCTCAAAATGCACAAAGAATCTCCTCTTTCCTTCTTCCCACATCTTCCTATGTCAACGTAGTGTTCCTACTGAATTAGGAAGAACAGCTGACGCACTACTTTAAGGATTTGCCTGTTGGCTTTGTAGTGTGGACAGGCTTGACTCTCACTGGCTTTGTCCAAGAATGCTTCTCGTTCTTCTGCCTCTCAGCTTTATTCCTCCAATACATGCCTCCACAATCCATGAAACTGCCAGTGAAACATACAACATATCTTAAGTTCCTATTGGCCCGTGGCTTAAATTTTTGTCCCACAAGGTCAGACTTTGGCACAGTTATGTCAAATGGTATGCAAGGACCAAGGGGAGGCAAATTGTATTGCCCCTAATTCTGGGGCTGCAAGGGCTGGTTTGACTTCCTGATGGAGGCTAGTGGGGAGCCCTTTTAACTTGTGGTGGTGGCTCAGCTTCCTGTTTAAAAAGCAATTTAAACAGGAAGCCCAGGGCAAGGGAAAAGGGAACAGAGGTGGTGCAGCAGGAAGTGGGGTCTCTGGCTCCAAGATACTAGCTTGACTAAACTTGACTTTGAGAGTTTTAAGTTTTGCAACACTATACCAGGGTCCTGAGGTGAGGACCTTATTGAAAAGGGGGTAATACTGTTTTGTTAGTGGCATTGGCGTTTCCTCCTTTAGATCTGTTCAAGTGAATGTATTGATGCCTATTTGTAAAAGTAAGGTTGAGGCTCCCCTGCAGTGCTAGAGCTGGTCACAAGTGGGCGCACAGAGACTGCCAACGCCTTTACAAATCCCTTTCACTAGTGCTGTACACCGTCACCTTGTACTTGTTTTGTGGCTCCTTTTGAACTGTCTACACTAGTTCAAGAATCGACAAGACAACTGAATCTGGCAGAGCTGGGATTAGGAATCTGTCTTCTGTGTTCTCAACTAGATCGGTGTATTGCTCTGTACTGTTGCACCAGAGCTGTACTGCTTTGTTTCATCTACTTTGTGAATATGGATGACTAAACAATCAATGTATGTTTTAGGACCATGGAAATTCTTTCACTTACACGGGGAGCGGTGGTCGTGATCTTTCTGGAAACAAACGTACAGCGGAACAATCTTGTGATCAAAAACTCACCAACATGAACAGGTAGGATACTTTCAGGTTGTGCCTCATGAAACTTCCTGCTTCGTGTCTGCCCCTACAGTAGACTAATAAAAGCTAATCCTGTCATAGAAAACCAAAAATAAGATCTTCCAAGTGATAGCTTTACTGTGCGTAATGGCTTATAGATCAATATGTACGAGGAAAAGTCCCTGTAGGACACTGGAAATGGGATTAGACCCGGATTTAATATTTGCTGCAACCTCCAACAACAGAGTAATGAATTGGAACACAAGTTTTCAAACTATAGTTTATGGCATATTCTTGACCCATACAGTATATGCTACCAATCTGCAGGGATGGCTGGTCCCATGGGACTTTTTTTCCCCCCAACTAACAAAAGGCCCTTTTAAAATTCAAATAGTTTACTCTTGTTGGCAAGAAGATGTTGTGGTTGTGATTTTGGAGTAGAAGGTTTGTGCAGGTAATTGAGAAGCAAGACAGGCAATCCATGTGATGTTCTGTATTAAAATACAGTGCTCACTAAGGGTATTGGGTAATGAGGACAATTATCATGTTTCTAGCCATCTGGTTGCTTGGCCTTCCCCAAAGTTAATATTTCACATTTTGACTGGGCAAGTGAATAAACAAATAAAATGGGTGAATAAGACTTCATACTGTTACCTAGAATTTTGGAAGTATACTGTTTAAATACCTTCCTTACTCAGAGAGGGTATATCTACACTAGCCCCCTAGTTCGAACTAGGGTGCTTCATTTGCATGTTCCCAGGCAGGCACCATTTTTAAATCCCCTTAGTTTGAACGGACTGCCCGCGGCTACACGCGGCAGTCAGAAGTTAATCCGAACTAAGTCCTTAGTTTGGATTAACTAAGGGGATTTAAAAATGGTGCCTGCCTGGGAACATGCAAATGAAGCTCGGGATATTTAAATCCCAGGCTTCATTTGCAAGTTCGAATGCCTACATTAGCCACTCTAGTTCGAATTAGGGGGCTAGTGCAGACATACCCAGAGTGTTGATTTGCAATCATAAGTACATCCCACTACTGAAAAGTGAATATGCCTGAGCAAAACAGCTCATGAGCTGCATGGTGAATAGTTTCTCAATAGCGTTGGTTGAATCTTGCTGGTATATCTCTTTTTTTTCAAAGCCAAAGCAGGGTATATGTGCTGCTCAGCATTTGACTGAACACTACTACTGCCTTCATGTTCATATCCTTTCTAGTAGTCTTATTACTAGGCTTTTTTAATTTCATGTCTGTTTCTGGATTGTTCTTCCCTAGTAAATACATTAAATTGGTTTATTCTTGCAGAGCTCTGGCTCTGAATTGCAGTGCTCCCATCAATGATAAAGATGGAGCAGAGGCCAAGGATTGGAGAGCTGGGAAGCCAGTCAGGGTGGTGAGGAATGTAAAGGGAGGCAAACACAGCAAATATGCTCCCTCAGAGGGAAACCGATA